TAATGGCTTAATCAACCACAGCTTATCCCGTATATGCTACTTGTATTTAGATAAAGTAGAAAATGATTATTTAATTAACAGACGAAAGAACACTATTTTTTATACCTTGCTGAAGTAGTTGCCACTAAAAATATTCGGACTAAACTCATGTATTCAGAAAGAAACAGCTGTCAATCTATTAATGCTATAGTAGACTGAGATTTTTAATAATCTTTACTCCAATTATAACTATTGACACTATGTTATACAACTATCATTTGGTTCAGTAATATTTTAGCTTGTAATCCGAGCAATATTTAACTAACTCCTTGATGATATAAACACTTTTTCGTATTTAAGTTCACTAAATGTTTTTAGTATAATTAAGAGTTTATTATGAAGTCTGAAAAAAACGTTTACTGAAAGTCCCAATCACTTAACTGTCATCAGACAACTCGTTCTCATCCGCCTTGAATTCAAAGATGAGATTGTAGTTAGAATTGATGGAAAAGTAACATCCCTAAAGCCTAAGTTGTTTTATTTTATTGATATCAAATACATTTTAAGCCAATGAAAAGTGAGTCAGTACCCTTTCAAGTTTACCTCCAATAGCATTTCTGAATTTACATGTACGTGTGGTGGCAAGTACATAGAAATAATTAAGAGAAAGAGGATCTATAAGGTTTTCTAGACATGTTTGTCTAAACCTATTTTTCATTTCAAAAAAACTCAAGTGTTCACAAGCTCAATAACTAGACACTTAACGGGTAGTTCATTTAAGGTTGATACGAAAAATGCGTTCATAATAGTTAGCAAGCAACGGATGCTGACTCTACTAACCTTTGTGAAAGGAACTGTTATTGAACAATTTTAACCTGAACTTTGTACATAGGAAGAAAGTGTGACGAATATCCGGTCGCAATATTAAAATGATCCTAATGGTGTAACATTACCTATTATATATTATTTTATTTATATTTTACATATTAACAATTACTCTTGATGTTCTTTTAACAAAAATAGGTGGCTTCATTATATAATTAGTTATTATTAAAATAATTACTTTAAGACGTATTGTGGCAAACAGTAGAATCTAGGACTACTTGTGGCTTGTCAGCTGAATATACTTTCATCCAAGAGTTGATGTCCTCTCCAAGACTCGAACCCAGTACCGTTCACTTCAAACGTTATCACAGTATTCACTTAGTTACTGAGTTCAGTTAACCACTTGCTTTTGCAGTGGGGTGAGCATTTCAAACTAAAACATGACTTCAGTACATGAAATCGTCACTAGGTTGGCGCTACTGTTATTACCGTAACCAGCTTTTTTAAATTGGTCGGAATGGTATGAACACATTCACTTTGTCTTTCCTCATATTTTGAGTTTCTAGATCATTTTATACCTCTTATTATGCCAATTTACTTTCCCTGACTCATATTTCTTATCCATGATCTTTTCTACTACAAGTGGTACTACTATATTGGTATTCATAGAGAACATTTGATCTCTTTGTGCTCAGAAGCTGCCTCAGATTGAGTTAATTCACATGTTTGGCAGGTATTTTTTATTGTCTATAGTTGGATGAACTATTTTCAACGACTAACTGTATCAGAACCAGTCATTTTTATTTTATTTTAGATCTAATGGGTTGCTCTAGTGTTGTTTCAAATTTTGAATCAAACTAATATCGGTATTTACTGATCATAAGGTAATTTATCTTTATACTCAAAGTGCATATTTCGATACTCCTCGTAGTTACAATCATTAATGCAACAAAGTAGATCATTTTTAAACGATGGTTAGTGATTAAATTCACTTCATTAGATAAATGTTGTTTTAGTTCGTTTATTTTCTTACTTAAAATTCCTTTTTCCATATGTCATAGTACAAATAAATAGGAATTAGAATTGAAAAACAAATACATTTTTAACATTATCAACAAATATCTATCTAAAGATGAGATACACATGGGTTTCTTTTGGGCAGTATACAAATTGGTACTCTATTTAATGACTAATAAAAAAATAATTTCCCCAATAGTGAATGGAACTGTTTTTTTTTAATACACATAGAATTATTGGTCAATTTGTTGACTATTATTATACCCACTTTGTCCTCTAATATACTTATAAATACTTATCTATTTATAAACGTATATATTATATAAAAAGGAATTTGAGAGAAACTTGGATGGTATGCAGTTTTAGTAATTCAATATTTCAGGGAGAAAAAAAGAATGTGTCCACATTTCAGTGCAAGTATTTCTTCTTAATTTAATCTCCTACCTGTTGCCACCATTAATAAAAAGCTGTTACATGGTCTAACTTGAGAAAGGATCAACTTTTACAACATTCCATTGTTTTCATTTATAACTAACCGATTATATAATGACAAAATATTTAAATATAACTAAGAAAAGAATTTCTCTTTGAAACATGAATATTTGGTTTAATGTTAAACAATTGACCATTAAAATTAACATTTAAATTATGTCTTTTTATAAATAACGTAATAAGAAATACTTCTGTAATGCTTTGATCTTTATTCTTATCAATTTGAGGAAATATTCACCAAGTTGAATTACATTGTAACACTGAAGGATATTATTACTTTATTTGATGGAAATAATGGTAATAATAATACTGTCCACATATTTTGCTATTTATAATTTATAGTCACTGTAGCTATAATTGTAAATTCTTTTGTAATATTGCTTACTTGTATTGGGGATTGAACGTTATGACTTTAGATAGAGAGGTTAAATTAGTTTGGTTTCTGCTAATATAAGTAAGATATTAGTTGAACCGGTTTAATCAACACAGGCATCTTAATGTAAGATAATGACTGGTGTATAATAAGACTATGAAAGTTGTCCGAAGAAAAACAGAAATCTAACACGTGATATATGTGACCTATATAAGTTAGGACTTCTGATTTGGAACTTGATAATAACAGATATAATTGATTTATGTCAAATGGTTGGAGTCAGTTGGCAGGAATATCTGAACCTGACTTTCCTCCCAACTATCTTCAATCATGTAATATCAAAACACTGTACACAAGATATCAAGTCACGTAGACTGATGGTCATATTTAGCAAACTGGTTGACAGAGTAATGTTAATACTAAGTATTAGACAAATAAGATATTGATGACTAATCAGTTAGAAAATGCTGCCGATCAAGGCCTCAAAGAGGCCATTGAGATGTTTATTTGTTCAAAAGACGTCAGATAGACTCTGTGAACCCGGATAACATGGTGGCCGTTGGTAGTGCCAATCAGGCAGTATCATTAACCTCGCGAGAACGAATGATAAAATGTACTCGCTATTTGTTTGTTATTCATAGCTTATTATTATTACGAACTGATTTTAACCATTGATAAGTAGAAAGCACTAGATAGTTGTCTCATTTGAGCTTGGAATTTCTCATCAGTACGCATCCAAGACAGCCCCACGGATTGAAGCTAAGGCATCCAGGCCCTGAGCAGTCTTTTAGGCTATTGAGTTGGCATCCAGCGGTTTACTTTCGTAATTCCAATCAACTCGTGGTGCTATTGGTGGATAACTACTTCACACTCAGCATGACTGAACTTCACTGGTCAGGGTTTTAGAACTACCCAAATTCTACATTCCCATTTTCTTTGCCAAGTTGTCTTTTGAGTTTCTAGCCGTTTAAGGAATGTGAATGCTTTGTTTATTTTGAAGACTGTTTTTCCATGACATCACGACTAGATATATAGATATCTATATTAAATTGTTTTGTTGAAAGGTTTGCAAATATCTTGATATACCACCAGACACTTTAAAAGTCTAAGTGTAACAAAGTAATCTTTGTCAGAACATCGAAAATATGAAAAGAATGTCGTTTAACTTTCTAAGGACTCGAAGATTTAGGCCCATACTGAGGTATGCATTACTCAGGCAAAAGTTTAAACCATAGGGTAGTGAAGCGATGTCAAAAGACCTAAATGCATGGTAGTTATTCATTCCCCTAAGTTTTTAGTCTATTTGGATCACTGGTTTGAAAAATCAAGATTTCCCAACTCCCTAGGTGAACTCGTAGTATCCATATACCAGAGCCATGAATAACTTTTTGATCTTTCCAGGACACCACAATCCCACTGATGTTTTTATTTCTTTTTTGATAGATATATGTCAAAAATGTATGTTCACGTACTGAAAGTAATTACATATATTATTATGGACTTGAATCTTTTCGAGATTTCTATTGGGATTTTCTACTATGTCCTTATACGTATAGCTGAAACCTTTACTACCGGCTCATTAGAGAATAACGTGAATGCGTACTAGTATCCTACATTGACACACAGTCTCAGCTAAAGTATATCTAAGAAAACGCATCCAGAGATAATTAGAGAAATGGAAGTATGACTCAAAGATATTAGCTAATGTTTCAAACCTTAAACACTACAAAATTAAAGCTTGTGTATAAAATACTTTTAGCAGTTTCTTTCCAATTGGTCTACTATTAAGTAGCATTTATGAACGATTCTTCAGTTGTCAAAACGAAAAACAATGCTGATGTGCAATGATACGATGTGGTCGGATAATGACTACTTATGAGACCGAATCACTGACATAATAGCCTGAATGTTTCAAGATTAAAAAAGATCACTGTTCAGAATACATTTTTCTGATGTACAATAACAAGCTTATGTATAGAATACTAAAGAAAAAATAAACATATTTAGGCATCATAATAGAAGTCAGTTTGTAGGTCAGTCACTATCTAACCGATCAAAACCGTCCGATGTATCATACCTTACGAACAAATAGTCACGTGATTAGTTCAGGAGTGTTTACCAGCCAGTCGATCGGTGTAAAACACCCAATAAGAATAATCAATTACAATTTCGTTTCACAATAAAGACAGCGAAATGTAAGCACATTTTTTAAATACATATTTCTTGTCATAAAGCAAAACTCCATCTTATACAGAAAATGGGTAATAATAAATACAAAAAGTAATAGTAATGACTTTAAACCATCATCGAATACCTGTCCTTTAACAGATGATACATGCATGTAAACAAACATCGAGCCAGTAAAAACTGTACAGTACTAATATGTTCGTGATTTTTAGAATTGAAACATTTATAAATTGAAAACAATTGTGAAGATTCTACACGTATTTGAATAATATCTGACGAATCATTATTATTATTATTACTATGTATAGTTTCTATTGGGGCTGATATATTTGTTAAATGATTAGATTTCACAGGAAGAAAAGAGAACGTAATATTGGATTGACTTTTAAACATTTGATGACTTAAATAAGTTGTCCAACGATTAGTTGGTTGATTAGTCCATTTTACTAAAGTTTCTATTGATGGACAATTAGTTGATATGGATAATTGACTTGTTGATGTATTGTTAATATTGGATGATAAAAATGCTAGAAGATAACCCATTATTACAGCTTGATGAACATTACGAATATCTAAGCTATGGATTGTAGTAAATGAAGAAGTTGATAATGGTGCGATAGGCCGGAGAATAACATCAGTACTTGCTCCAAGATAGTTACTACATAGAATGTTGTCTTTAATTATATTAGAACAATTATATGCCTAAAAAGTAAATAAACGAGCAAGAGAGATGATAGTAAATGAAAGGCAATGAAGTGAGACACTATCAGGTGCTTAATAATCCAATGGTTATTGAAGTTAAGTAATTAAAAGCGATCGATAAAAAGCTTTAGATTTATATTGATCGACTTCAAACAAAAAATCGAGTCAGCAATCTTGAGGGGACTAATTATACTCCTTATGGGATTCGAAACTGCACCATTCAAATCCAGAGCTTCTTCGTGGTTGTCTCAACGTACCTACCATTAAACCAGTGTATTAGATGTCAAATCATATAGACTAAACATAAATAGTCATAGGATATTGGGTTTATAGGCTACTTACTAATCTGAGAAACCGAGGTGCCCAACATACTAGTTGCCTTACAATTTCTTAAATCTTTCAATCCACGGTATTCTAATAAGCTTAATATTTAATTAGTTTATTCGTCAATGCAATTTAATCTACAAGTATCCAGAAAATGGAGAATATGGAAAAAAGAGCGAGAGATTCAATAGGTGGACTCTGTAGAACAGGTTGATTCTTTAGTACTTTAATTAATTTTTTGCAGTAAGTGGTCGTTGAAATTAATTTGTAAAAAAACTCTGCTAGGTATTTCCGCTTAATACATTGTTGTGAATAAAAGCACTAATCAGCATGGCACGATTCTATATCGAAAACTAGAAAGTGACCAGCTATAGTTCATATCAGAAGTTATTTTTGAAAAGATTGCTTAAAAGATTATTTACCTTTTCATTTATCACTAAGATGAATATGAAGGTTGGAGTTCTAAAGATGTGAATTTATTACCCATTATTCCATGGACAAGGAAACCATATCCGTCTACAAGAACATTAGCAAGACTAAGTTGATTGTAGCTAATATTTTGATTCTCATTAGGAATACGTACACTGGAATTTGATAGATTGCCATCTGTATTGAGAAAAATATTCGTATAAGTGGATATACAATTGCTGTCAGTAAACGAGAGCTTAGGTAGTGTGGTAAACAGATCTTCAATACCACGAATTATACATTCTGGATTACGGCTCACAAACTTAGATCTCCATGATGAGAGAATATGTTTTCGATAAGAATGATTCATGGTGAAAACGGGAAGGTAGGATGGGGGTAAAAATTCTTGTTTAATGGACTCTGTACACAAATATCCGATGAGGTAGCCCATAAAACCCGCACGTACCAATGAGGCTGAAGATAATTTAGAAGACACATACACTAAGGCGAATTGACTACTGGTCAATTTTCCAGATGAGCAAATATCATGTACCAAACGTTGAGTGGTAGCTTTGAACTATATGGTAGAAAATTTGAAAATAAGTAATTCTAATGCAACAGGAAACTCACAGAAGAGAATATAAATTTTTTTAAATTTACTCAGGTTACAAAGAGATGCTTTATTTACTTAAAATATAGAGCTGTCATTAATCACCTAAAAAAAGTATTTTCAACCACTGAGTCACTAGTCTATACCATATTTTATCAATCAAAGTTTCAGTAGCTTTGATGTGTGAATAAATGTTACGTAGTAAATACATGTGACTTACAGACTAGCACAAAAACCTATAAGTGCATGCTAAGTATCATTATTTGTTGTATAATACTGTTAGTAATATAAACAATGGTAATAACCACTACTTGAAGCATAGCATGAATTAAAACCAAAAGATGTCCAGCTATACCCAACTTATCTACATACTCAACATATTTAGTAAACTAGTATTATATCTTAAAAGGATGTCAGATTAAAATATGCTTTCAACAAATAGACCGCATGTTCTAACTCCGCTCCATCGTCTCCAATGCACTTAGCAGTCATCCAACTAAACTATGACTAGAAATTAAGTGCATAAACCTTCACTCGGTGAGTTAAGTTACTTAGTTATCACCTTTTCCATTCCACTTGGGAGTAAACCTTAATATTTTCAGGAACACGATTCCATACAAAATAATCTTCGAAGGTTAGATTTTTAATTTAAAAAGAATGTAAATGTATATAAAGCTGTGGCTCGACAGCTAAAGCGCTCAACATGAGTCGTAATTTCAAATACCGGTCCATCTGAGTTAACTTGCGTGGACAAATAATCTAACTTAGCTTACGAACAATAAGTGCGACTGAAAGCTTAATACGGAAACTTAGTTGACCGTCGATTTGTATTTCTGTTAGCGGAATATGGATTGGATTAAAGGATATTCCGTGCAAGATTATGTTGGGGCACACTGATTGACTATTTTTTATCTAATCAGCGCTAGCAGATACTTGAAGAAGACTCTAGAATCTTTTCATTCAAAAACTATAAATATATTCCTACTTCCATCTACTCTTGTTATTTAGAATAATAATTACGTTCGTGTTAAACCGTTTTCTGATTTGGGGCTTTGTCGAGTGAGTGTCTACGAATACCAAGCAATAGTAGCTGGGTCGTAATAAGAGAAATTATAACAATTACTATTGATAACTAATAGGTGGCTGTACTGATATACTGAGTAATTTTCATTTAGTCAACAACCGATCTTCCTCCCTTATACATACTTTGTTGATTTAATATCTTGAAGTAGTTGCATCACTAATATGACTAAAATTTACAGCTAGTTTTCAGCATTAGTGTCTACTAATCGATGATAGCTTGTTTGCTGTTCGATTTAAGTAATTACATCAAGAGAACAAAATTAAGACACCTAGATGATGGATGAAGTATTTATTTAGAATTACAAATATTTGAATACCGGGTTTCTAAACGAATTCCTAATTCTGTGTCCACATAAGAACGACGAAACAATATAAACACTAGACAGCATACGTGGTGATTATTAAGTTTTATTATCAACTTTACATTTTGAACGAAGTGACCTCTAGTGCTTTTAAAGATATCAGGGTGGTTATCACTTACCAGCTGCTAATACTCTGAGGGGATACTTCTTCTTGAAGTAAATATAAAGGAAACTGGGTGAGGAGTGATTTTGACGACCTCGAATGAAACTTAAGATTATACAAATTAGAGCTTATTTGCGGTAAAAACAAAATGATAAATCACTGATAAGTATAATAATTAGAAATTGTTAATGCTGTCAGTTTATTGGTTACACTATTTGATTGCGAACATTTCATTATCTAGAAAGTTGTACTAGCATTTACACATTTACTTAGAGACAGATTGGCATATCAATATTGTTGTAGATACGAAATTTTCGGTTAAATTAAGTAGAGGATAATATGTAGTGGAAATAAACCCCAGCTACTAGTGCTTTTGTAAAAATAATTCATACTTGGGACTTTAGATCACTAATATAACCAATGAACTTAACTATTTAGTTATAGGTAACACTCTGTTGTATTTAATTTGGTTTGAGGAGTCCATTATTGTAGTCATTGTGCATATAACAGACATAACTAGGTTAGATTCTAGAACAAACGAACATTTTTTAAGGAATACGCTTCGATGAATTGTTTTACCACACTTTACCATAACGTCTAAAGTAAATTATTGACCCTGATTCTTCTAATTAATAAAGATGTATTACAAGTGTTTGAAAAATTACTAGCCGAACCAAATTTCATTTCCAAGTTCCTAAACAGAGCAAATCGTTTAGTACAAAGTCACTAAGCAGAATAATCAATTTTCTGGATACGTTTTATGAGAACTTCAAGGCAAATCCTAAACACATCTAAATTCCGAATGGAGTTAGTGGCTCTTCAAGATTGTGTCTACTTTCAGACATGTCATACCCACGGTTTGTTCTTATACAGTAGCCATTATTTAGAACTAAAATTATTCAAGATAGTATAGTTTGGTCTTTCTGATCTATGCGCCTTATACTTCGCTCTCAATAAGAACAGTGCAAGAATATGCACGCAACCAATAGCAGGAAAAATTCATAAGTAGTTCGGAACTAATAATGACCAATTAACATAAATGTAAACAGAATATAGATCGAAATCATGAAGGTTTCTTAATGAATGTGACAGGAACTGTGGTGTTTTCTTGGTAAACAGTACAAGCACAGTTCTGTTACATTAGATTTCACCTAGATAACTACAAACTTAAATACACCAAATTTTACTACTGAAAATTCGTAACATTATTTCCAGAAAATAATTCCAAGAATCAGGTTTTTGAGAAGTTTACATATTATCAATATCCAGGGACTAAAAACCAGTTTACTTAAACAGGAAAAAATCCTTTAACTACCATGGAGGAACACATGTACGGTCTGAATTCCTTTCCAGAAGGCAAATTGAGCGAAAGGCTGTTCCAGCTGGAAAGAATAACTGAATTTTTATTTTCAGGATCCAAGCACAAAGACGCATAGCTTAGTCGATCGGTCGTAACTTCGATGGTGCAGCATGACTCAATTATCTAAAGACTATGAATTAAGTATTATTCACTTACTCCACGATACTTAGCTGTTATATGAGGTTGAATCAAAGTAGATGCCGTGTTCAAACTTCGTCCGAGCAATAAATAGACAGGACGATGAGAATAGAGTGCTATCATCACTGGCACATTTGTTGTATAACGAGTCGGTGAAGACGCTAGCTGAATTGTTTTCGTGCTGAATACTTTCCAGTGAGCTACCTCGAAAATATTCAGTTGGACTTACTGGCGAATCTTTTGAAATTAAATGGTAATTGGTCAGGATCGTTATAAAAAATACCATTTATTATAGTTGGTTAAATGAATACATTAAGTGAAACCTTGAAAAATGGCTAAAAGAGCTATGGGTCAAAATATTTTAACCCGCTGTAGTTAGCAATACTTATTTATTTACTGATTTGAACACATAAACGTTGGTACGAGGGGCACTATATACATATGCGCCACACAAAAACAATCGGGACAGTAGTTATCACTGATTTATGTGAGGAATGTGATACTGCCCGGGTGCCCAGACCGAAGCAGGAGAAAACAATAAGTGTGATATCACTACAAAATGAGTCTGTATTAACAGAGTTCACTTGAAAAACTTGGGAAACTGAGCAATACAATAACATAATGGCACAAATGTACTCACTTATTATCTACCTCTTAATCTTGAGTTCGAGTATTCTCCTATACATCTTTCAAATATTGGCGAGACTACAATTTATGAACGAACCAATCAGATTTACGATAAAAGGTCTTGAGTTTTGGTATTATGGCTGATGTCACTTCGTGATGAAAGCCCTAAATCGAATTCCTAGCCCTAACTACCAACTGTAAATATTGATCATAACTCCTCACACAGGTTTATAACCCGCAGTTAGCCGATGTAGATGAACGTTATCAAGGTCTTTCTAGAGACGCTCAAGGATCGTCCATAAATCATAACCTCACCGAAAGACGTACACCGCTGATTCAAGAGTTCTCAATCTTGATAATAGCTTTTCTTTGAGATCTCACGTGAAACTTACAAAAATTACTTTGATGAGCTTTTCTACATATATCATAAATAATATGTATTGATCGAGAGTTAAGTGTGAAATGAGGATCAAGAACGTTAGGTTCGGTCAGTCATCATTAACGTGGAAACCTCCCAACCTCCCGATTCTGGGGTTTCCCACAAAGTAAAATAACAATCGGCAGTTTTCATCAAAATTTGGGGATTTTGTGCTATTTTCCCGAGATTTCTTTAAAGTGTCTTCCTCAAAATGTGTAGATTGGGCTATCACGTGTGCATCAGCCTGTTACTTCATCATATCAGAACAGCGACACAAAATCACTACGATGAATATAAAATTGGTACTGATATAAAGGGAAGTGAATAAGATCAGAGAACACGATCCAAGAATAAATCATCCACTGTACGTAAAGCAATCTCAGAAAATATTAAGCATATACTCTGATTGATAGCTACCTACATCTGCAGAGGTTCATACTGTAGTGAAAGTAAATAACCACCTGTATCGTAAAACTAGTCAAACAACGAATGTTTAGTCATAATAAAGAAAAATAGTACACCAGTCTACAAACCTCGCGAAAACACTACATCATACATGTATTTTACTTCCCTATGACAATATATCCGGATGACTACTAGCGAGATTTGTAGTGTAAAGTAATACGAACTATCTTCAAGATTACTAAGGATCTGAGGTGTTGCGTGACCTTCTTTTGTAGTTACCTGTTGCAAAAACTTAAATGATTGTGTTTAGCCATTATATTTATGTGTAAACAATCCGTAAGATGACTAAACGCGCATGTGGTCAATACCAAACACCGCCATCGTCAACTTGTGCGCATGACACATTGATAAATGAACCTCGCGCAAAAATCCAAGGCTTGGTATCGCAAATCTCATCGGTTCGTCCATAAATTATAGTCTCACTGTTAGTAATAACTATCCATATTGATAAACATAAACCATGTTACGAGTAACAAGACTTAGCTAATTTTAATTGGTCACGTAACACTAACGCTCACGTTAAAGATTTACGGCACAATAATATGTTATGCTCTGTATGACCAGCATTTTGTGACCAAGCAATATGAATCAATTGACCACTTTCCTCCTATTTTCGGTGTCCCAGTAGCAGTTCCAGGCTTATCGTATAGTCTAACAAAGTTTTTTCTAGCCTCTTTTATACGATAATTTCAGTGATAATGGGTTTCAATATAAAATATCTGTCACTAACTTGGGTAGGCCGACTGATTTCTTCGCGTTCACTTCATGTTGTTTCGGTGCGGTTACATGTATTCGGTAATGTCCAGTCGTTTATAATCGAGCTATTCGACCTAACTAATTCTAATCCGTTTGTTAGTTGTTTGTGGATTCCTATAGCCTGTGGTTTGAGTGAGTGCGTTTGTCTTACGACTATAAGGTTTCTGTGTTCCAACAGTTATCACAATTCTGGGAAGAAGCTTGATTATTTGCAATGCGCGAAATAACAAAAACTCAGTTCGAATGAAGAAGAGATACGAGAAGATATATTTATCAATAAGTCAGTTAATTTATTAATCAAACGCTGCGATTGTATAGAAGAGTATAAATAGCAGGCTAACGTAGGTGCTAAGAAGCAAAATAAGAGTAGGTTACTGATATCTGTTGATAATACTAGCAGGTAAGTTACGAGACAATCATCAGGTATATCTGGTCCAGGGGGGATGGCATTCCATAGACAGATACGTGTTTATCAAGTCTTCTCTCGAAGCTGTCAGCCAAGTGGTCTGTGGCCACTCTAGCTGGGGGGGCATTCCAGATGGAGGTAAGTATCAATGAGCAAAGTGGGAGGTTACCTGAGATTTTAATCCTTGACATGCACTTTCAGGAGTTTTCCAGAGTAGCGTGATAATGATGTCTTGGTAGGGTGTATAGTAAGGGCGATAAGTTGTTTTTACATCAAGAGTGGAGTTGCCTTGGTTGCATCCTCAACATAGTTTGAGAGGGTGTTCATGGCCTTTTCAGATGCTAGCCCAAGATCGCTCTCCAAGGAAACAAGTGACAGCGGTTCTCCATGTGAGACGTAAGTTGTTTGTTTCCCATGAAGCAGAATGGTCGCAAAATGGCGAGAGTTTTAGTTGTAACCCATCATCTACTGCCCGTTTCTTCAGGTGTAAGACCCTTTTTGAGCTCAAATGAATCCTTTGCACCTTTTGCGGACACTCATAAAACCACGTTGCATGCACAGTTTGGTGTCGCTTAGCTAATTTTATCGGGAAGGTCATTCATAATGAACACGGAAAGGAGTGTACCTGTGGTGGCACTGGTTTCTAACCATAAGATCTTTGAAGCAAAGCATATAATTAATGAGATTTACACTCAATATGTAATGCTAAGAGAAGTTCGAAAATGGTGAATGTGGGAACAACTGATGAGTATGACATGGCTCAGTCTTGCAGGTTTGGTAACTCTGCGTGACTCATTCCCTTCCACATAAAATATATTATTCTGTCTCCAACCCAGATATGTTCTTCAAGAGTACTAAGCATCATGTTGCTGATTGTCACGATAGGATGAGTTAGTATAGGCCGTGCTATGACTTCCACATAAGATCGTATAGATTAGGTAGTCACATAATGACAAATCTATAATTTTGGCGTTATGTCTGTTATTACAATAAAAGATAAATGTCCTGATACCTAACTAAGCTATAATTTTACATACCAACAGGGGTTCCTTGTGGAACTCTTGACACGAAGATCCTTCAGCTAGCATGCACTCTACTAAACTTGGTAGGGAAATACCTGTTCCCCATGTTGTTTAAGAGTCAACAGGGTGTCGGTTTGTGCATCCTATTTTCACATTCTTCTCTATGGGTAATACATGTATTACTGACAAGACATACAAAGTAAAGTGTTAAAGTTGACGTATTTGATGAACGATTATGGATTTACCATGTAACGTGGTGACATGAAATATCATGGGCCTTACTTGCATCAATTCTTAACCGCAACTTCTTCACACTAACGTGACTTTCATAAGGTGAGGCAGCTTATAGACAGGACATTCAGGTTTGACTGACATTCGTTTTCTTATGCACTCAAACCTGCTTCACTGTTTCTATGATTAGTGTGTCTTATAACACACCAACCTAAGTAACTTATTACAGAAAATCACGTAACAACTGTGGCACTCTGGTCTTACCAGCAAGGTGACATGTCTGGCATAACATATTTACTTGACAATAAATTATTAATATTACATCAGTTTACCATTTTGTTTTGATATTTGGGAAGTTTTCCGGGGTCCTAAAACTTGAAGGCTTTTTGAGGAAGTCGTGGTAATCATTATTAAAACAACATGTTTGGGTTGATTGCTTGCAACTTAACTCCGCCTGTAGCTCTTCTTAAGTTGCTGCCGGTCTCAAGCCCGTGTAAAAGATGGAAGATTGGGTATGAGGTTGGCAACTCCATCCCGTGGAAAACTAACTCGCTAAAAAGCGCCAACTACATTAAACAAACTGAACCATTTAAACTTTGTCCTGGGAGTCGAAGGAAGAAATATGACGCCTCATGTGGAAAGTCGAGTTCCTTCGGGAGTCACAAGGCAGATGCTACTTCTAACAGTCAAGGTGACAATGTTTATAGGTACATGGAACGTCCGGACAATGTGGGTGACCAGGGAGACCAGTCAAATAGCAACGGAAATGTGGAAATACAATTAGGCAGTACTGGGAATCAGCAAAATCCATCGGACACAGACTGGACAACAAAGGCTAGATACAGGAGAGATGCTACTATACTCCGGTCACGAAGAGGAAATGCTCCGCACACGAAGGGAGTTGCTCTAATGCTGTCCAAAGAAGCACGAGATGCACCTGTAGGATGGGAATCTCATATATCCGGAATTATCAAAGCATAATTCAAAAAAGGAGGGGAGCAAAATGAATGGTATCCAGTGATATGTGTAACGGAAAAAGAACGATGAAAATCCCTCCGCAGCTTTTTGGTTGGACAGTACTGTCATTTACTTGTCTCTTCTCCCTGTCGTGTATTTTAACCTTTGTTCAGATCACATCTAACCACACCTTTAGTTCCTCAGTCTTCCTCGTCTAATCCCTTATCATGTGATTTTGATT